CCATGTATGACACGCCTATATAGGCATGATTGGGTATGTGCATAGTTTACAGAATTTTGACCACAATGGATCAGAAAAATTGCAGGTCAAATCAGATAAGAACGATTGCGAGGACAAGGAAGAGATGCTTTTCAGTTTACTGAATTGAAATTATACTGGCTGGCTTTTAACTATTCACTCATACACAAAATAGCTAAAACACGGGGGTGTGCATAATGGTGAAATATGAACCGGTTTAAATGAACCTAGACCCTGATCGTAAGCTTGACTTTTAGTTACGGAACAAACAAACAGTTTGAGCAAGTCCTGTACAGGCAAGAAATCGCTGATGCACTTTTTAAAATTGGTTTTCATGTGTGCAGGCATGTATTCCGAGTGCTACCTTGTTCTAGACTTTGGCGTACCTGTTGAGGAAAATGTCCGCAGATCAGTCAATGTGTTCTGTTTGTTACGTGCATTGTAGGCTGCAGGTTGCATAAAAGTCATATTAGGTTTGGAAAATTGTATATTTCTGTGCAAGTTGTTATTGAATCTAAGTTGTACTTCGTTTGCGGCAGTCAGAGCGGATCAAGCTTGTGAATTAGAAATCCGTGAGAATATTTGTGGCTCGGGATGCGGATGAGGATATGCAGGTTTTTTTCCAAACTGGCTAAATTGTCTGCAAACGTTTCATCGTCTGGCTAGACGACATCATCAGTGCAATTTATACGGGCCACTTAGAGATCCAAGTGATTATTGACTACTTGATTCAAACGTCAGGATTCTGCTGGTCCACTTGAGCTGACCGTGTAGTCAGCTCTTACGTACTGGTGGCTAGAGTCTGCCTCAATGATGTTCCTTTCTTCTGTTGATCTGGGAGGTAGTATTGTTTTGACCCTCAGTGCGTCATAGGCAGTATCAAGCTCTAAGTGTCTGTTGATTGAGTGCTTCCCCGAGTATTAAGCCTTGATGAACTCGCGTGGTTGTTGACATTTTGCCCTGCCTATGATCCTGACATTCTCCAAATCAAACTGATGATTCTCGGCGTCCATATGCACCGAATCAAGTGATCAATAATCACTTGGATCTCTAAGTGGCCCGCATAAATCGCACTGATGATTTGGTCTAGCCTGACTAGGAAACATTTGCAGCCAAATCATCCAGCTCGGAGAATACCCGCATACCCTCATCCGCTACCCGAGCTGCAAATATTCTCACGGATTTCTTATGAATTGTGTGCGGTGCGCTCATATCTGCTCACCAATGGGAGACCTATGCCAACCTGCTGTCTTTCATTCAGGATCAACTCTACTTCCTTCATGAATGCTTGAGAAGACAAGTTCTGCCGCCAAGTATACAGTACCGTCCACCAATAAACAATCCTTTTTACTGGAAACTCACCAAAGTACGCGGACGATGGATGTTACGTATGCTGGTCACCGACGCACATAACCGAAGGCAAATATCTCCGAACGATTGACTTCCAAAAGAGGTCATGCTTATCCAACCTCGTCACAGAAATGACTAAAGAGCTTGAAAAGGCGATATCCATCAAAGCGCACAACACCAACTGGAAAAGAAACTAGAGCGAATTTCAAAACCTAAAGCAGTGAATCAAGATGATGCATGGATTAAGAATTTATTCAAAAGAACCCTGTCGGATGTAGAAAAAGTAGTAGTTGTTCGTGGCATGCAATTCAAATACAAAGACTCCAATCCCATCATTTTCCTCGCAACGCTTGAGACAACACTGAGCTCATGCAACATCACAGCTAACGACCAACACACGATCAGGCACAGTATAATTCCGACCCTGCGACACAAGAGTGCAACCAACATGTACAACACACCTGAACAAAATCGTTGAGCAACCTTAGGAAAGCTACAGATATTGTTATCTTACCGGCTGATAAAGGACGTCTTACTGTTGTGATGGACAAAGCTGATTATCAGAAGAAAGCACAAGAACTTCTCCAAGATGTGAACTCATACCAACCAGTAAACGAAGATCCCACAAGACGATTGCAAAGCAAAATCAAACGCACCCTACAAAATCGGGAACAAATGGGACAGATTACAAAATTAGAACACAGCAAGATCAAACCAGAAGATTCGATGCTACCGTGATTCTACGGCTTGCCAAAAGTTCACAAAAGTGGAGTCCCCCTCCACCCTATCGTGTCGTTAACTGGCGCTTCGAATTACAAACTTTCCAAGGAACTCCGGAAGAGATTGAAGCACCTGATCTCTGGATCGGAACATTCCACACAATCTACAGAACTGTTCCTGGCTAAGCTCAGGGAAACAGTAATAGAAGAGGAAGAAATCATGGTTTCCGTCGATGTAACAGCTTTGTTCACTTCAATCAACACCAAGCTGGCGAAGCAAACGATGGCAACACTACTGGACCAACACGGATCCTCAGATACGAACAATAAATTAGATGCCATCCACGTGATGAAGTAGTTGGATTTATCCGTCACGACATACTTCAGTTTCAACGGCCAAACCTACGAACAAATAACAGGCACTCCAATGGGGTCCCCGATATCTGGACTAGTGACCGAAGCGGTGATGCAAGCATTGGAGGAAACCGCACTCCCGGTTGTAAAACCTAAACTCTGGCTACGCTACGTGGACGATACTATTGTCATCATACAGCGCATGAAACTAGAAGAAACACACCAGCTAATAAACGACAAGTTTGCTAGTATCCGTTTCACTAAAGAGAAGAGCAATGATCAGCTACCATTCTTGGATGTGTTAGTAAAAAGACGCGCTGCTGGACAACTGGAAACAACAATTTGTCGGAAATCGAGCATACAGATCAAATGATGAATTATCACAGCAATCATCCAACAGTCTACAAGCGCAGCAGCGTAAAAACTATAGTTAAAAGAGCGCAAACACATTGCAACACCCCGCAGCTAATGAAAGCGGAGGAAGATCATCTTTTCAAGATGTTTACACAGAATGGGTATCGTAGGAATTTCATTCTACGTTGTTTAACATCAATAAAACGACCGACGCATGAACAAACATCAGAAAGGGATAAAAGAACAATCATTCTATCATACATAAACGTCGTCTCTGAGATGGCGGCGAGACTGCTACTACCTTTCGGAATCAAATTTGCTCACAAACCTACAGAAGCTATCCGAGACAAGCACTTTAATGGTAAGAACCGGCTTGACAAAGAAGAAATCAGTGGTGTGATTTACAAAATTCACTACAAAAATTGTAACAAATACTATGTGGGCCAGACAGAAAGGAGGCTCGACACTAGTCTACATGAGCATAGTCTAGCCATTAGCCGACATGACCAGAACTACCTGATGTCGGTACATATGGACAACGAGAATCATCAGTTTGATTTGGAGAATGTCAGGATCATAGGCAAGGCAAAATGTCAACAACCACGCGAGTTCATCAAGGCATAATACTCGGGGAAGCACTCAATCAATAGACACTTGGATCTTGATACTGCCTATGACGCACTGAGGGTCAAAACAATACTACCTCCCAGATCAACAGAACAAAGGAACATCATTGAGGCAGACTCTAGCCACCAGTACGTAAGAGCTGACTACACGGTCAGCTCACGTGGACCAGCAGAATCCTGACGTTCGAATCAAGTAGTCAATAATCACTTGGATCTCTAAGTGGCCCGTATAAATTGCACTGATGATGTCGTCTAGCCAGACGATGAAACGTTTGCAGACAATTTAGCCAGTTTGGAAACACCCGCATACCTACATCCATTTTTTGTTAGTGCTCGCTGTACTTGTTCCAGTTTAATGCGATCGCGATTTTTGAGCTGCTACGCACCATTGATCATTATTCCAGCGTAGCACAACAACTCACTTTCAGGCATGAATTATTGGTTAATGTTGGGATAGAGTCTATAATACCAATCCAATTTCCTGTCTTGGTCTCTCGCGATGGCATATCCGGCTTTCTCGTGGAAGTCCAGTGAACAGGACTACCTCAATCCCAGACCTCTAAGCGTAGGGCTGAGACTAAATGGTTTGGCCTCACGCGTCTGGCCACTATGAGTCAAATTGCTTTTCTTGGACATTGCACAACATTTGTCACCGGAGAAAGACAGTTTCTTGTTTGAGCCCCTGGTTTCCATCGCACGAAATTCGCGTTGGATCATGGTAGCAGCATCATTGGAGTCCGCCGGACTGAACGTGTATACAATGTTAATGGCAGCGGTAACAATATATTGTGTACCGAATGTTAACACGTCGACGTCATTAACATGAATTAAGAAGAGTAGTGGCCCAAGGACTCTTCCATGTATCACACCTGTGGTGACAGGTGTAGGCTCAGACTTGTATTCTTGTATAGTTATCACTTGCGTTCTACTTGTAAAGTTTGACCTGAATCAAGCAAGCTGGGTTAACCAATCCTGTATGACATTAAGCTGGATATCAGGTTTTCATGAGGCACCCGGTCAACGGCCTTCTGCATAAATTACAGTAGCCGACATACCAGTCTCATTGGACACGCAGGTTTTCTCTTCAAAAACAACCACACCTATTCCCCGTCGCATGATACTTCAGAAAACAACTCGCATAGCTAACCAGGACGCAAGAGGCACTGTAATAACGTAGTGAATCCTGAAGGTGGACAATCCGCTATTCGTATTGCCGGAAGCGAAGATTCTCGAACGCCATCAACCGTGACTACCAACGTGTATAATGTATGCTGGCTTTGATTGCTCGTGACTCTACTCATCTGTACTTCCCGCACTATCGGCAAACACGTCCCCCTGAATTTTATGTGATTCAACACTTTTAGTCAGCAGACCTCGTTGTTTTACTTGTGTCTCTATGGCTGTTGTGTTGACTATGTGGTAAACCCGTCTTGTAGTCCACTGTTCAATAGACCCCGTCCGAGATTCCCATTTCTATCATACTATTTGCTACTTTGTCAGTGGTACTATTAATGACAACACACAGTAATACATTCCAGTAAATTCAAATGAACTAAGCAGATGCTCTTTTATTTTTTAGATTCGCACAAATGAATTGCTTGAAGTACTGGCCAAACGAGTATTTGTCTACATCAACGGCAGCCCATTCTGAGCAACTAGATGGGAGCGTAGGAATTTTGTACGGATTCCTGATCACGGGTGCCGTACTGGTTATATTTTATCTTATTACCAGATAATGATGCAGTTAGACCGATATCTCGAGAGATCAAGACCTTGCATATTTGCCCTGCGTTTTCTCTATCGAAACATGAAAGTACTCAACTTCAACTAACCTAACTTGTTGAGGTACTTCGCGCATACTAAATTCAGCATTTCTAAAGTGCTATATATTGTTTTAAAAATATTTATGTATAATATTTAATCATGAGTAAGTTCGTTGTCTCGGTTGTGCTAATTTTGATGACACGGCCAGAGTGCTTCTTTTTTCCTCTTAGCACTCGTTCGAATTTATACTTTGTACTTGTTGACATTCCAATGCGGATAGCAGAGAAATACTTCGTTACGATGTCACTGAAACTGCCCTTACTCGTAACGTTGTTATGGTCATTAATTTATACATAAACAGCTCTGGATAGTACGCATCATCCTAGTTTTACATCACAGTCGTTGAGTAAAATATACGACTAGCCTGAGGTTACCGTCATTCGCAGTATCCTCATTTCTATTTAACTGCATAGTATATGAACACAGACAACTACTTCATCTATAGATTATGCTCAGAAGGGTTTAGAAGTCGCAATTTTTAGAAATTCTGTACTATATCTGTGATCCAAGTAAATCCATGGAAGGTATCCCCAACTCATTCTGTGTACGATTCCACAAGATTTTTCGCTGATGCAACGAGGTTCTCTAGGTTACTGCGCAATGCCAGTGTTTCGCCGAAAGCTTAAAGTGAAACGCCAAGATGAATGGCCTGCTTGGTAGGTGCAGCGATCATATGGCATGGTTAATGCTACAGAAAGCAGCTTCTATTTTTTTAAGCTGAAGCTGACTAAGTGATTCAATTTGTCGACGCATCGCGGTAAGTTCATCGTGATCCCCGTGCTGATTCACAAAGCTTAGTTGGGGGACGCGGTCATGGCATCAATAAACGCTTTAGGCGTAGGCCTACACTGATTTAATTCCAGCGCTGTTGCATCAGTCGCTTTTGACAATGGCACCTTGGTCCTTTCTTGTGTTTGTGCGAAACTGTATTCCCTATGTGAGGTCATATTTTGTATCCTCCAGACATCGGACATTATCTGGTAATGCACCCACTCTGAACTCATCTTGCACATGCAGCTTCTGTTTTAATATGTACAATTTCCCTGTTCCGGTTTCGCCATGCAGTAGAAATAACGTCGTTGCCATCGCAACAATCCAGTAGATTTGGTAGATTGAATTAAGCTTTTCTGTTTCTGTTGAGCTAATCAATTCGTGCCGCACACGTTAAGTAGTGTCGGATAAGGAAAACTGGTGGATACCAGTATCCTCTATTATTCCCTTCCCACTGCATAACACATGGGAGCTGCATATCGATAAGGAATGGTGCGAACAACCGGGCGTGATATATGGTTACGTAGTAGCACAGTTCTAGTGAATCACTTTCTCCGCGTGCACATATATACTGCAGACTTCATCCCCAAACCCGCAGTCTAAGCGAAGAATACCAGCTGGTTATGATTGACATTAAACACCTTTTTGAACAGATGATGACAAGTGGCCATTGTCACTGTAGGTGAGGTGCAGGAATTTTACGCACATGAAGTAAGAGATATGGAAGGTCCCACTTGGAAATTTTCCACATATTCGGGACTTCTTTACTCTACCGGTTCTACTCATGTAGCTTGCTACACATCTGCATACGGACTGGTAAGTAATGTGTGATTTGGTGCTCGTCGTTGGATCGTCAATCTTGGGTAAGAGATGCTCAACGTTTGCTCACTATCGACGGTCTCCGCAGTGTAAGAAGTTCTGTGAACTGCAGAGCTAACGCGTTCCCTTGTTCTCATGGTTACAGTCACTAAAAGGTGCACAGCTCAATTAAATAATCTTGTTAGTCATTGAGAGAACCTACCGGAAACCGTGCTTCATGGGGTTTTGTTGTAATCCTACTAAGATAACAATTTATCCATAGTGCATTCGCAAAATCCACGGTTTCTCGCATGAGCTAACAGGAGGTAGATAAGCATAATGTTTTTAGATTGTTGTAAGGAATTTACATCTGGGTTGCGATAGAGTGAACGTGGGAATAAATGCAATAATGTCTCTCTGATAAAACGGTTTTTGATTGCATCTTCGTCCCTGTGACTAAGTAGTCTTCACAAGTGCGGCACGCAGTTGGTATTATTGACTTATGATGATCCCGTGCGTCTAATTGCGCACAGGTTAAGGGGCTTGGAAAGAAGCCCGCTGTGTTTGTCGTATAAAGAGAAACCAAGATATCACCAACGACATAGTTTCCCCAGCGGTATGGGAGAGTTCATAAGCGACGACGTTACCAGGCTGATAGGCGTTTTGATCTTTACACAAGTTGGGTCCGGCTTAAAGGTCAATTATTCGAGCATCGAAGTTTTATTGGAAAACCAAATACAAATGCACGTTCAGCGATTTTCAACTGCAAGTTGCTGGCTGATTGCGCTTCCTTACTTTTAAGACGTATTGATCTATTGCTTGGGGCGATCATTTTGATCTACTCAGTGTATAACTATACATTTTTCCATTAAAGTTGGACGTTCGGGCAAAACATTTAGGCCTGGGGGTCAACAGGGTTGCTCCTCCGGGGCAATCATTTTGAGTCTTCGGTATGCGGAAATGAACCACTCTCTGGCTTTGTAGGGGCTGTTTCATTGGCCAAGCGCCTTCAGCAAATAGGACCTCAGACGCATATCGGTGGCATGGACCCAATTGAGACGCCGCAACCGAAACATGAGCTCACACACCTCTGTGCACAGTGGACGGGGGTGACACCATGTGCGACTGTGTCCCTCTACCCACAGAAGGGCATGTAACCAAACAGCGCACCCCAAAGGCAAAGACGATTGGAGGGTAGGGAAATAGGAAAACGAGCCGCAGCCAAATACATTAGCAGTTTGCTTGTTAACGTGCAGTCATCGTAAACACCATGCTCCGGAGAGGACCATACGCTGTACACTCCATAGAGGTGAAAAATGTCATAATGAAAGCGTACGAGGAAGGAGAAGGTTGGAGGCAGGTTGCTCGTACTCTGCATGTGAAGGTGAAAACGTGCCGCAATTGGATTCGATCGCGCGAGTCCACGGAATCAATACGACCGCACGGAGGAGGTCGTCGCAGGGTACTTGGGGAAAGTCACGTAGATTCGCTGGTGGAGTGGGTTTCTGCGGAGCCAACAATTACTCTCGAACTTCTTCGCTTGCGTTTAAGGGCGGAATTCGAAATAGAAGTCAGTCATAGCACTGTCTCAAGGTATTTGGACGGAAGACTGATAAATACCGAAAAACTGCACACCATTGCAGAATATATGAACACCTTGGAGAACAAAAAGCGACGCAGATCGTTCGTACTGCAGCTCATGGATTATGAGGTCGAAGGGAGGCCACCTATGTGGATCGACGAAACAAACTTCAACCTATTTTGTGGTCGCACCAGGGGCCGGTCTCTACGTGGCAGTCGAGCGCAATGTACGGTGGCGAACAGCCGTGGACCGAATGTGCACCTTGTCGGTGCCATGACGAAAAATGGCTTGATAACATGTACCATCTCGAGAGGTAGCTACAGCAAGCAGCGATGCTCTGGGTGGCTGCGGGAAGTTCTCGATACCAACGGAGCAACGTTTGTGCGAGGTTGCGTTGTGGTTTGCGACAACGCACCCTGTCACACGAACATGGAGCAAGTGTTTTCGGAGGACCGTTATCGCTCTGAGAGACTTCTACGTCTTGCACCATACTCTCCAGCACTCAACCCCATCGAAGAAATCTGGAGCATTATAAAGGCACATGTCAAACAGGGGATGAGGGTAAAATATGCCGAAATGCTCCGGGGAGACCCTCAAGGACTTTTAATAAAAACAGAGTGGCGGCTCCGTATTCTCGAGTGTGCGGTGTCAGAAGCACGGGCCTTGATTACGCCTGAACACTGTGAACGAATGGTCGAACACGTCAGAAAGAATTACGGAAGTGTTGTACATTTGGTCGATTTGTAACATAATCTGTTTCTAGTAAGCTTACTGTTTGTAAACGAGTCTCCGCGATCATCCGCGGAAACTGGCCATACCACCATCTGATCCGATTTGGGCAGAAAGGCGTTTCTCGCGTACAGTTAAAGAGCGCCATAGCTCGCTACCGGATCACCACTAACGGAATCTATTGTGAATGGTTTCGTGAGTCACCTCGATGATCTTTGGTGGCATCACCAAGCCTTCCCGTTTCTACTAACTGATTTTCATCATTAATTGGATGTTCCGAGTGCAATGAGGTCATTGTTCTTGCTTCATCTACGTCTCGAAACACTACGTCAACTCATGCTGCAACGACCCGCTTAAGGGAAACATTCACGGGATATGCCTATCTTGCTGTTCCCATTTGAACTTGTCTGGCATGCGCCATGCGGAGCAATTCCTCACCTGCGTAGGCATTACTATTTCAAAATGTCAAGGCGATTTGGTGGAACCGGCTTTCTTAACATGAACAACGAAAAGGGATAAATCATATTTACCGACTATGCAACGGTAGTTACGCGCGCAACCATTATCCTAGCTCTCGCAGGTTTGCTCGACAACGCGACACGGGAAACAAGTCTGTGCTCCACATGGCTGCTGCGGGTGCACAACTGGCTACTTATTGTATCGTACACAATGTACCCTGGCCCAATACAACAATACAGTTAATAAAGCACTCGTTTACAAACAGTAAGCTTACTAGAAACAGATTATGTTACAAATCGACCAAATGTACAACACTTCCGTAATTCTTTCTGACGTGTTCGACCATTCGTTCACAGTGTTCAGGCGTAATCAAGGCCCGTGCTTCTGACACCGCACACTCGAGAATACGGAGCCGCCACTCTGTTTTTATTAAAAGTCCTTGAGGGTCTCCCCGGAGCATTTCGGCATATTTTACCCTCATCCCCTGTTTGACATGTGCCTTTATAATGCTCCAGATTTCTTCGATGGGGTTGAGTGCTGGAGAGTATGGTGCAAGACGTAGAAGTCTCTCAGAGCGATAACGGTCCTCCGAAAACACTTGCTCCATGTTCGTGTGACAGGGTGCGTTGTCGCAAACCACAACGCAACCTCGCACAAACGTTGCTCCGTTGGTATCGAGAACTTCCCGCAGCCACCCAGAGC